GATCATAGCTCCTCATCAGCAAGGGAACAAGGCCTAATGGAAAACGAGTATGATGAACTGTTAGAATCAGGGCTCGGAAAGTGGATAATAAGAAACTTCTGTGAGCTAAAAGAATATGTTCTAACCCAATGCAAAGAAACTAAGAACCTTGAAAAAAGGTTTGACAAAATTCTAACGAGAATAGACAATTTAGAGAGGAATATAAGTGAATTAACAGAGTTGAAAAACACAACACGAGAACTTCATGAAGTATGCACAAGTTTTAACAGTTGAATTGATCAAGCAGAAGAAAGGATATCAGAGGTTGAAGACCAAATCAATGAAATAAAACAAGAAGACAAGATTAGAGAAAAAAGGATAAAAAGGAATGAGCAAAGTCTCCAAGAAATATGGGACTATGTGAAAAGACCTAAACTACGTTTGATAGGTGTACCTGAATGTGACGAAGAGAATGAATCCAAGCTGGAAAAAACTTTTCAGGATATTATTCAGGAAAACTTTCCCAACCTAGCTAGGCAGGACAATATTCAACTCCAGATAATACAGAGAACACCACAAAGATATTCCTCAAGAAAAGCAACCCCAAGGCACATAATTGTCAGATTCACCAGGGTTGAAATGAAGAAGAAAATGCTAAGGGCAGCCAGAGAGAAAGGTCAGGTTACCCACAAAGGGAAGCCTATCAGACTCACAGCAGATCTCTCAGCAGAAACCCTTCAAGCCAGAAGAGAGTGGGAGCCAATACTCAACATCCTTAAAGAAAAGATCTTTCAACCCAGAATTTCATATCCAGCCAAACTGAGCTTCAAAAGTGAAGGAAAAATAAAATCTTTTGTGAACAAGCAAGTTCATTACCACCAGGCCTGCTTTACAAGAACTTCTGAAAGAAGCACTACACATAGAAAGGAACAACCAGCATTGGCCTTTCCAAAAATACACCAAAAAGTAAAGAGCATCAACATAATGAAGAATTTACATCAACTAATGGGCAAAACAGCCAGCTAGCATCAAATGGCAGTATTAAACCTACATATATTATTATTAATCTTAAATTTAAATCAGCTAAATCTCCCAATCAAAAGACACAGACAGGCAGATTGGATGGAAAGTCAAAACCCATTGGTATGCTACATCCAGACACATCTCACATGCAAGGATACACAGAGACTCAAAGGGATGGAGGAAGATTTATCAACCAAATGGAGAGCAAAAATAAATAAATAAATAAATAAATAAAAGCAGGAGTTGCAATTCTCGCCTCTGATAAAATAGACTTTAAAGCAACAAAGATCAAAATAGGCAAAGAAGGACATTACATAATGGTAAAAGGATCAATGCAACAGGAAGAGCTAATGATCCTAAATATATACGCACCCAATACAGGAGCACTCAGATACATAAGACAAGTTCTTAATGACTTATAAAGAAACTCAGACTCCCACACAATAATAGTGGGAGACTTTAACATCACATTGTCAGTATTAGATCAATGAGACAGAAAATTAACAAGGGTATCCAGGACTTGAACTCAGACCTGGAACAAGTAAACTTAATACATTTATAGAACTCGCCACCCCAAATACACAAAACATACATTCTTATCAGTACCACATCACACCTACTCTAAATAGTGATTACATTATTGGAAGTAAATCACTCCTCAGTAATTGCATAGCATTTCATAGGTTTAAAAAAAAAAAAAAGAACATACTTTTTATTTGTATTACTTTGAGATGGAGTCTCTCTCTGTTACCCAGGCTAGAGTACAGTGGTACAGTCTCAGCTCACTGCAACCTTTGCCTCCCCGGTTCAAGCAATTCTCTTGTCTCAGCTTCTCAAGTAGCTGGGATTATATGCGCATACCACCAAACCCCGGCTAATTTTTGTATTTTTAGTAGAAGCAGCGTTTCAGTATGTTACTCAGGCTGGTCTCGAATGCCTAACCTGAGGTAATCCACCCGCCTTGGCCTCCCAAAGTATTGGGAATACCACCATGCCCGCACCCCCCGCCTTTTTTTATTTTTTGAGATAGGGAGAGGATCTCACTTGTCACCTGGGCTGGAGGACAGTGGGCCATCTTGGCTCACTGCAGCCTCACTTCCTGGGCTCATGGCATCCTGGCATCCTCCCACTAGTAGCTGGAACTACAGGTACACCCCACCACTCCTGGCTAATATTTTTTGTAATTTTTAATTTTTAAAAAATTTTTTGTATTTTTCGCCATGTTGCCCAGGCTAGTCTCCTAACCCCAAGTGATCGCCTGCCTCATCCTCCCAGTGTGCTGAGATTACAGGCATGAGTCATCGTGCCTAGTCTCAGCATGTCTTTTAAATGAGTTCAAGTGACTTCAGATAGTACCGACACAAAAAATTTCTCTATAAAGATACTCCTTTTAAACAATTTTAATATAATCTATACATAGAAGTTAATGTTAACAGGTAGGTCTAAGGAGATGCAAAGAAAAGCTATAAAATCATTCAAAATGTCGTTTTGTTGTAAGCAAGATATTGATTTAAAGTAAAATAGTTTTTTGATCTTATTTGAAATTTGGATATAGCAACCTTTGAGTTTTTGTTTTATTTGTTGCAAAAAAAGACATAGTACAAAATGGATCTACAAATTATAGCCAAGGCTATAGATTTCATTTTTGGGTGGTTGAAATATTTGCTACAGTAAGACATTTTACTTTAGTTTAAAATATAACTAGGTGTTTTGTAGAATTCTTATTTCTTCTGCCACTAAATCCTTCTGTTTCTATTCTTTCACTTTCTTTTGGCTGACAAAATATTTTAATGATGTATGTGTTGGAAAAGTTTAGGATGTAGTATATTACATAGTAAGTACAATAAAATTTAGGATGATGTTTTTTCAATTCTGGATGTATATTTCAGTCTTTTATTTTCTGAAAAGACTTACTAAGAAAAATACAAATTCATTTTATGGTTTACTGAAGTTATAAGTAAAGTGTGCAAGTTTGTTGAAATAAAGCTTTTTTCCCACTTTTTAAAGATTATTTTCCTCTATTAGAGTGAATGTTTGCTTCTCTGCTATAATATTACTTTATGGGAAAATGTCAATTTCAGACACTTTATGATACAGCAGCTTGTTTTGTAACACTATTAATTGAGAGAATAATCACTAAAGTATTTTGACTAGAATGAAACAACAGTTGGATTTTACTCTTTGAAATATTGCACATATACTTGAGAATATGCTAAAGTAACTTAATAAGTAGTCGTTGTACCTGTTGTGAAGTATACACACAAGATGAGGGAGGGCCAAGGCCTATCCCTGACTGATTTAGTTTGTAAAAATACAGTGAACCACTTTTAGATTCAGGCAGTTCATTATTTAATTTAGACAGAGATAGGAAGCTAGCTAAAGGTGCCAGCTTCCTGTGGGCCTTGACTCATACACCAGAAGGAATGACACAGAAACAATAGGAGATGGATGACTCCAGTGTGTTTTGTGGGATGCCTAATTGCTGAGAAGTCAATTCAAGACAGTATAGCTCAGTAGTTTTATATTCTGCAGTCTGTTTTAAGGGGAGAAGGACAGAAAGCCTTATACCTCTTCAGAACCTGAGAGGTGATGAGAAACTGTCTCCTAACAGCCTAATAGAGGAGATAAGGAGGCAAGTAGGAGATGGTCTTGTAAGTTTCTTACAAGCCTTCTGTCTTCTTGTGTTCTGGGAGGATCACAGGATGTTTTGCCAAGACAGAGGTTAACTGAGGTTCAGGCCTTTGCTAAGCTTGTGTGTTCTATATGGATACATGCGAAGTTGTCCTGGGGGTTATGATGAAGCTGTTTTAATGGGACAGGCCACTAAACATACTGAATTAAACTAACAGAAATGGAATTGATTTTTACATAAAAACATTATTTTAACAGGATTGCATCTTGCATCTTTGGTTTCTGATGCCTCCTTTATAAATAGCAATTAATTAGTCAACATGATATGCTTGTATCTTGAGTTTAAAAAAAAAGTATTCCAAAGTATGCTAATGATAATTAGTCATATATACTTTTATCTAATTTTAATTTAAAGTAAATTGTCATGTAGACTCAGCTGGATTGCTCTGAGACCTCCTGGAAAAAATTGAAGATATCATTGGAAGATGCTCTGCCTCAAACTGGGCGGCAGAAGCTAACTACTTTCTAATGTGAGGGTCAGATTTTTAAATACCAGTACACTTTAGTAAAGCAACTGAGAAACCATGTGGTTTGTATGTTCCTGGCTTTAAATGCGCAAAAGACATATGGGAAGAACTGGCTGAACTCAGAAGCTTGTCTTCTTTGTTTATCGATTTATCTGACATACTCAGTGACAGTCCATAAATCATTGTTTTAAACTGAGTTTGCAACCTATTAGTGGGGATAAAAATAATAAAAATAGAATATATAAGGCTACAATGCAGGCATTTGATGATGAGGTGTTAATATTGTTTTAAGAGAGTAGCATTTTAGGGGTGTGTCTGTGTGTGTTTAACAGCCAGTGTAAGCTGTATGTGTTACTGTGCATTGTGGCTAAAAAGGCATGAAACAAGCCAAGTGCAGTGGTTCATGCCTGTAATCTCATTACTTTGGGAGGCCGAGGCAGGTGGATCATAAGGTCAGGAGATCGAGACCGTTCTGGCCAATATGGTGAAACCCTGTCTCTACTAAAAATACAAAAATTAGCTGGGTATGGTGGCAGGCACCTGTAGTTCCAGCTACTCGAGAGGCTGAGGCAGGAGAATCACAAACCATGGAGGCAGAGGTTACAGTGAGCTGAGATAGTGCCATTGTACTCCAGCCTGGTAACAGAGCGGGATGCTGTCAAAAAAGAAAAAAAGAAAAAAAAAAAGAAACATTGCCACAAATCAAATATTCCTTGACTATTTCAGATCTCTCAGAAAATGTGTGCTTAATTGTAAAACTAAAATATATTACTTCATAGTTCTAATTTATTAATGAAATCTATAATACAGTATGAATAAATTTGTTGCTTTTTTTTGCAGTTAGCTTCTGGAATTTATAATTTTGCCTGCTCTCTGTGGAATCACCATACAGACACATTCCTGCAACAAGTTTCTTCTGGCAATGAAGCTGCAATTCTAAGTTCACTAGAACGAACTCTGCTATCATTGAAAGGTACTATTAAGCTTGATATGCTCATTTTTGAAATGAGATACCTCAGAACAGTCACCAAATAGTTCTTTTAGATGGGTTTTCTGTTCCCAATTTCACTGGGAAAATAAGGGGTTAATTTTTCCCTGAAAGATAAGGGTTTATTTGTAGTTTTGTGATAGTAGCTCTTCCTCTACCCCTTCTAATTTATGAAAGCACATATAGTAAGTTGAAGTGGATAGTTATATGTTATATTCACATTACTGTGGCCTCATGGCTCTGAATGTATTTTTTTCAAATGCTTCTAGTTTTTGTTTCTACTTTATTTTTCTCATTCTGAACCCTACACTTATCATTGTCATGCTAACTTTCCTAAAATTTTTTCTCCAGGCTGGAATGAACACTGTCTTTCACCTCTCCTTTCCCTGGAAAGGCAAGGGTCCATCTTTCATATTAGTACCTCAGGCTCACTTGGATTTCAGAAAGCGCTTGATGGGGTGCCATCTTAGCCTGTGTCTTAGTATATGTTGCTTGTAGGCATTCCCTTAGCATAAATCTTCATCACACTTTCTTTGGGCTGTTTATCTTGACATGTATCTCCAGGTTCCTTTCCTTCTAAAACATACCTGTTTGTCTTATTCTCTTACTCTTCTAGTCCCTCTTCTTTCTGTTCTTGTTGGTAAGGCTCTTTTAGTTTTTTTTTTTCCGACAGGGTCCAGGTTGAAAGTGCAGTGGCATAATGATAGCTGACTGCAGGCTTGAACTCCTGGGCTCAAGTGATCCTCCCACTGTAGCTTCCTGAGTAACTGAGACTACAGGTACATGCCACTTCACTGCACTGATTTTTACATTTTTCTGATCTTGAACTCCTAGCCTCAAGCGATCCTCCTGCCTTGCCTTCCCAAAGTGGTGGGATTACAGGAATGAGCACTGTCCCTGGCCTAGGTTGTTTTTCTTTGTTTGATTCCAGGTACCATCAGTTTCTCTCTTACTCTAACTCACCTTGCATTCTTTTTAGTTTTACTTATAGCCCTTTTATTATAGTCAGTCTGGTACCTTGGAATTTCATCATACGGTCTTGGCATTTCATTATTGCATCACTTACTTTAACCAGACAATGATGCATAAATCCCAAGCTGTCAGCACATTATGTGAAACTGTGAAGAAATGTGTGAATGATTTTAAAGGACCGTTGATAAATAGAATCCATTGTAGAGGTGTAGCAGGAGAAGCCGCAGGAACAGCCGCAGGAACACCAAATGGAGAAGGAAGAAGTTTATTTTGCTGGGAGCCTGAGTGATAATTTGTCCAAAGCTCAATTCATCTAACAAAGGAAGGTTCAGCCTTTATATTGGCTTATACTTTAGATATTACATGTGGAAGAATCTTAGGTTTATAGCTTTAGAAATAACATATGAAAAGGATCTTGGTTTACAGCTTCAGGAATCACATATGAAAGGGTTCTGGTTTACAGTTTTAGGACTCACATGTGAAAAGGTTTCTGGTTTGATCTTGTTTTAAGTAAAAATAGTGCCTTCTGGAGGGTCCCCAAGACCAAGCCTGCCACCTACAGGAAGGTGAAACAGGAGGCACCAGTCGGTCAGTCTTTTCTTCTATTGAAATGCAGTGTGATAGTCAAAGGGGAAGTTGATCTGAGATTCCTGAGTTTCCCTCTTCAGAGGTAGTTCTAAAAGTGAGTGGAGATGTTTTTGTCAACATCCTAGAGGAAGAAATTACAGGCCTTGGAGAGAAATGTTTATGTAGAATTAGAGAGACTGATGTAAGGCTGTGTATAGAAAGCTGTGTGTATAGTAGTATATTTAATGATTAGGAAATTTTCAAGATTTCTTTTGATTATAAAGTTTTTTTACCTTTTTGATTTCAAAGCCTAACTCCTGTCAGACAAAAGATCTAGCTTAAATGTCTTAGATTCACATTAACTTATTATAGGCATTCTGCGCTGGAAAATTTTGTTCTCTAACTACACATTTCTATCCTGAAATGAAGAAATACTTCAGACTAGAATTTTTTCTCCCTTGTAATCGCTATCTGAATTTACACTTAGTTGTATTTAGTATCTTTTAGACATGGATGCATTCGTTATTTCATTTGACAAATCTATAGGTGCTTGGTATTAGGGAGACAGAGTTAATGATCACACACATATATTTAAAGTGACATCTCTGACAGAGGCCTTATGATATTAGGATAACTGATAATGTGATCAGAAAAAAATTCCCTGAGAAAGTGGTCTTTGAGCTGTAATCTTAAAGGGTAAATGGAAGTTAACTAAGTGATGAAGGGAGAAGGAAAGGATCCTCTCAGGTTGGCTCAAGGTCTTGTGGTAGGAAAGAATATCCAGGATAAGGATTCAATTTGAACTCTGTTTTCTCCTTATGTAAACGAGGAAAAGTTACTGCATCATTATAATGCAGTGACTTCTGAGTTGCATATAATTGATGGTTTCAAACTGAAGGTCTTGTAAACAGCTACATTCTAAACCTAATTTTAAAACATTGCTTTACACTTACAAACTGGGGGTCTAGTAGACAGCTACATTCTAAACCTAAATTTAATCCATTGCCTTTCAACCTCATAAACACTATTTAAAGTATAATTCTTTAGTACTATAGATAGCAATGCTTATATAATGAACTTTTTTTTTTTTTGAGACGGAGTTTCGCTCTTGTTGCCCAGGCTGGAGTGCAATGGTGCGATCTCGGCTCACCGCAACCTCCGCCTCCTGGGTTCAGGCAATTCTCCTGCCTCAGCCTCCTGAGTAGCTGGGATTACAGGCACACGCCACCATGCCCAGCTAATTTTTTGTGTTTTTAGTAGAGACGGGGTTTCACCATGTTGACCAGGACGGTCTCAGCCTCCCAAAGTGCTGGGATTACAGGCTTGAGCCACTGCACCCGGCCTTAATGAACTTTTAATTTTGCCTCTTACGCTGTCATCATCCTTATTGTTGCTAAATAATTGCTATATTTTACATATACTATGGAATCCAGTAATAACCTGTGAGGTAGGATTTGTTAACTACATTTTATAGATGAGGAAACTGAGATGTAGAAGTGTTGCCCAAAGTAATAATATAGCTGTAGACAATGGAGCAAGGATTTGAATCTAGCTCTGCTTTCAAATCTGTCGTCCTGCTTATCTCTCTGTCTATACTAGTTTGTCAGTGTTACTCACAGTTGAGCAGTGTAGTTTATTCCAAATTTGGAAATAAAGTTTAATTTTTATATTCTTTTTAGGAGATAACTGTACTTTCATTAATATAGCCTAAAACTGAATGAATTTTTTTGTTACTGTTGAGTCATAGCTTAAAGTTCTTGAAATAAAGATAACTTTCTCAATTTCAGTTATTGCAGGTAAGAAGTACTAACAATTATATAAATTACACCAAATTTTGGAATCCAGTTTTAGAAACATGAGAGTAGTTACAATAAGTCAGAAGAACACTGCTTTTGTGAGTCAGAAGAACTAGGCTTTAGTTCCATCTTTCCCACAAATTTCCCAACCAAATGACCAGGAGTTAACTTTCTAACCCAGATTAACCTCCTAGCTTGATTAGGTTTTGTGATTCCAAATCTTTATTGTGATTGTGATTTTAGTTGGATGAAATAAGATCCAAGTAAAGTTTGCTTTTGCTTTTCAGTGCTGCGTAAGTTAACTGTTAATGGATTTGTGGAACCTCATAAAAATATGGAGGTGATGGTAAGTGATCCAAGTAATTAACTGTGCCTTTGGGAAGGGTATTTTCCTGAATGTTTAAAAGAGTGCTCTTTTTATTTGGCATTCAATTAGAAGAACTTTTATTTTATTTATTTATTTTTTGAGACGGAGTTTCGCTCTTGTTACCCAGGCTGGAGTGCAATGGCGCGATCTCGGCTCACCGCAACCTCTGCCTCCTGGGTTCAGGCAATTCTCCTGCCTCAGCCTCCTGAGTAGCTGGGATTACAGGCACACGCCACCATGCCCAGCTAATTTTTTGTGTTTTTAGTAGAGACGGGGTTTCACCATGTTGACCAGGATGGTCTTGATCTCTTGACCTCGTGATCTACCCGCCTCGGCCTCCCAAAGTGCTGGGATTACAGGCTTGAGCCACCGCTCCCGGCCTAGAAGAATTTTTATTAAGTGACCATCTAGTTTTTTACCATTCTGACTTTTAGACTTCTGGTTTGTTTTCACTACATCAAAGTGGCTGTTGTATGAAGGAGAGGAAGTAGGCTCAGGATATTTCTCAAGATGCCATGGTGCATTGAGAGTTAATTTGGATTTAAAATAAACTCCTGTGAATTTGAATGCTATTATAACATTACCAGGTACATTGTAGATATTATTTATATAGTTAATATTTTTCTTTGTTTTTATGTATTTAAAATAAATTTGGTTTTTTTTTTGGTCTAATCATAACATTCATAGATGCTCTTTGCAATCAATTAAAAAAATAAATATATGAGAGAAAAACCTTGTCAATAAATTGATCATAGGTCATGATATATATTCATTGTAGATAGCCATCTGCTTTTTTCTATGCAAACATGTAGTTACTTTTTTTTTTCTGAGACAGAGTTTTGCTCTGTCACCCAGGCTGGCGCGATCTTGGCTTACTGTACCTCTGCCTTCTGGGTTCATGCAGTTCTCCTGCCTCAGGCTCCCAAGTACCTGGGATTACAGGCACGTGCCACCATGCCCAGCTAATTTTTGTATTTTTAGTTACACCATTTTAGCCAGCTGGTCTCGAACTCCTGGCCTCAAGTGATCTGCCTCTTTGGCCTCCAGAAGTGCTGGGATTTCAGGTGTGACTGTGGTCAGCCTCGTTGCATTTGGTTTCTATAACTGAAATGGCATTTTAGTATACTTAAATCTGTTGGTTTTCACATTAAATTTAGCTTAGGTAAAACATTGCTTTTTTGTAAGTTGCTTTGGGGGTTGCTCAGGAGTTGAGGAATAAACAAATCTAATTGGGTCTTTAGGTCTCTCCTACTAGATCTTACCAGAACCATTAAAAAAACAGTATTTTTTGTGTATTGATGAGATTTGGTTGAAATAATTGTTCTATTGTTAGAAGAGTTTAAAACCCATTAATATACATCATAATGTGATGATTATTTCATCTTTTGAAAATTTACAAGCTTTTTTTAAGAATTTCAGAAAAAGAAACTAAAAAATCATTTATAATCTTAGCCTTCAGAGATAATGCTAAAGTTTGTAAATATTCTTGAAGACATTTTATTCATATTCTTTTGGATAGACCTTCTCACTCAATATGATATTAATGGGATCATATTTACATCTTATTCCCTTACCAGCATTTTAATTTGTTTTTTTTTTTATTTGTCCTTAACATTTTAAAAAACAAACTCAGCATATTATAGATATTTTCCCTTGTCAGTTATATTGTTACATGTCACTTTAAAGTGATTGTATAGCATATTCATATGATTAATGTCAGTAGACTAATTTTTTTAAAAAAGAGATATTAATATAGGATTCTTATACTTACCTCATCATCTGTTGATGGGCATATAGGTTCTCAGTTTTTCATTTTTGATAAAAGATATGAAGTGAACATTTGGGTCACTTAATGTGGTTTTCTAATCTCTTTAGGATAAATTCCTAGAATTGAAAATATTAGGTTAAGCTTATGCACGTTCACAGTATTGATACATATTACCAAATTACTGAAAGGTATATCAAACATCAATTTAAATCTGGATACATTTTAATTGCCATACTGTCAGAAAAGCTTTTTGAGAAACCAACTTGACAACTCTCTTTCAATTCTCTAACTAGAATGTGTAAATTCCATGAAGAAGGGACTTTGTTTTATTTACTGTGTGACTCGGAGCTTGGAATAGTCACCGTAAATAAATAGTAAATTCTCAATAGTTATTTGTTTAATGAATACATCTTTTATTTTAGAGGCAATATATCAAAACCCTCAGGAATTATGTGCAAAATTACCCTTATTATATTAACTAGAATATTATCTTTATCTTTTTTTTTCTTTTGAAATGCAGTTTCACTCTTCTTGCCCACGCTGGAGTGCAGTGGCATGATCTCAGCTCACCCCAACCTCCGTCTCCTAGTTTCAAGTGATTCTCCTGCCTTAGCCTCCTGAGTAGCTATGATTGTAGGCGCACTCTACCACACCTGGCTAATTTTGTATTTTTAGTAGAGATGGGGTTTCTCCATGTTGATCAGGCTGGTCTCAAACTCCCACCTTCCAGTGATCTGCCTGTCTTGGCCTCCCATAGTGCTGGGATTACAGGTGTGAGCCACCTCACCCATCTCCTTTTAAGTGAAAACGAATTGATTTGAATTATATCTCTGTAAGGTGAAATAATAGTTTACACTGGATATCACTGATACTTTGTGAGCTTGGTTTCCCTTGAGAATCTTCGGTCTGCATAAATCTTATGTCAACCTTTACTCAATTATAAATGCCGTATTTTAGTAATTAAGGTCATCAATTAATTGGAGAATAAAATTTTAACAAATTAAGGACAATGTTTCAAATAATATAATTTTTTTTTTTTTTTTTTTTTTTTTTGAGACAGTCTCACTCCGTTGCCCGAGCTGGAGTGCAATGGCGTGATCTCGGCTAATGGCAACCTCTGCCTCCCAAAGTGAAGCAATTCTCCGGCCTCAGCCTCCTGAGTAGCTGGGATTACAGGCACCTGCCATCACGCTCAGCAAATTTCTTGTATTTTTAGTAGAGATGGTGTTTCACCATGTTGGTCAGGCTGGTCTTGAACTCCTGACCTCAGGTGATCCACCTGCCTTGGCCTCCCAAAGTGCTGGGATTACAGGCATGAGCCACTGTACCTCATCTAAAAATATTAAAAATAACCTAAAGCTTAAAAGATGCTAAAGAAGCAATATATGACAGTGGTGAGATTTTGGGCTCTGGAAGCAGGCACATTGATTTGATGGCCTTTAAAATTAATGGCCTTTGTAATTTTCTACTTTCTTTGGAGAATAGGACTATTGGACCCTTTTATAAATTTAAGATACATCGGGGATCTTAGTGATCTTATTCTTTTCTATTGAAACCTTTTGCTGTTTCATTGTTCTGTTGTTACTTTTCATTATCAATTATTGTCAACTATGCGTTAAAAAGACAGAAATAGTATGAAAATGGAAGATGATGCAGTAGTGAAGTTATCATCCTGAAGTTTTCTTCTCTTTTTAAATTGTATTGCCTATTTTATTGCATCAAGTTTCCAGAAGGCATAAAGGAAGACTGGAAACATTCATTTTACTCTGCTTTTAGCTTTTATTTAATACAGTTGAGAATTCAGAATTTTACGTTTTCTGCCTGAAATGACAGAGAGAAGGAAGAAAATTGACAGAGGAAGAGGTTTACTAATTTTTTGATAAGTCAGTGGATGGATATTCAGAATCTGAGAGCAGTACTCTTGACTCAAATGTTAACACTGAAATTAATTGTCTAAGTAAAGACACTAAGTCTTAATGGTATCCTAGTTGAATTTTCTCAAACTAAAGCATTGATGAATGAATAATGTACTTCTGAGTACAGAGAGGAAATGTGCATTCTAGAGTTATTTTCCAGGAAAGCCACTGTTATCCAGTATTTCATGACTACCTCATTTGCTAATAGAGTATGTGACATCTTTTATGATATTTATATACCAACATTTATTGATACAAAGATATCCTTCTATGTTTAAATTCTTATTAAAATTTTAAGTTTTTTTTTTTTTTTTACTATTTCTTTATATTTACTCCTATTAATTACTCAAAACGTATTTTAGAATATGTTTTCAAAAATAAGGATCCTTAGACCTAGCTGGTGTATGTTGATGCCTAATACTAGTATCTGAGGATGAATGTGTCATATACTTAAAGTTAAGAACACAATTGCCGAACACAATTCCAGGATTCTGGGATAAAGCAGTAAATAGTGCAAAGTTCTGGCTCTCAAGGAGCTTACATTCTAAAGGGAAGAGTCATATAATAAATGGACAAATGCAATATGTCAATGGATTTAAGGCCTATGAAGAAAAATTAAAGCAGAGTAAGGAGGATAAGAGAGTGTTTAGTGAAACAGGATTCTTAAAAGGTAAGTTTTTATTTATTGCAAAATGATTCATGTAACTAAATGAGATACTGAAGATATGAAACACTATAGTTATTTTCTTTTGGGAGACTTGTTTATAATAGTGAATTTTTTTTTTCCTAATTTTAACTTACTTTTCTTCAGCTGATTTTTTTAAAATGATGTGATAGATTTGTTTTGGTATCCGTGAGAAAGGTACAAGGTAAATGTTTGTAACAATGGATTGAGACACTTAAAAATAATATTCTTTTCTAGGGTTTTTTACATGGAATATTTGTACGTCTAAAACAGTTTCTGGAATGCAGTAAGTACTTTCATTACAGTCCTTTTTACTGTAGAAGTTTTATTCATTAATAGATTATTCATTAGTAACTAGGATTAATGAAGGATTAATAGATGCTTATTCATTATTAGCTTCTGTTGCACACTTGTAAATCTGGAGAAAATGTCTTGTCCAGTTGCCCCGAGTGAGCATTTGATAGCTGCAGAGATCCTATATATAGCTAAAATAAGTATTTTCTGTCAACTTTCTGAAATTAGAAGCTTAGCCTTTGTCTCATATACAGGAGTCCCTCCTTGGACTATGATTCAAGACCTACAGTTGATGCCTGAAACCACAGATAATACTAGACCCTATGTGTACTATACTTTTTCGAGCTAATATCCAAAATGGCCACTAAGTGATCAACAGGCGGGTACTGTATATAGCCTGGATATACTGGACAAAGGGAGGATTCTCGTCTGGGTCAGAACAGAGTGGACCAGCTTGAGATTTATCACCATACTTAGAATGGTGCACAATTTAAAGCTTAATAATTGTTTATTTCTGGAATTTTCTATTTAATATTTTTGGATTGCAATTGACTACAGGCACCTGAAACTAGTTATTTTCCTGTGGAAAGCAAAAGTAAGAGCGGACTACTGTATTGGTACTGAGTGGAGGGGAGTTCGCCATGTTGCCAGGCTGGTCTCAAACTCCTGGGCTAAAGTGATCTGCCCACCTTCATCTCCCAAAGTGTTGGAATTACAGGTGTGAGCCACGTTGCCTGGCCAAAACAGATTTTTAAAAAAAGATTTCCCTGAGGCCAGGCGTGGTGACTCATGCCTGTAATCCCAGCACTTTGCGAGGCTGAGGTGAGTGGATTGCTTGAGCCCAGGAACTGGAGATCAGCCTGGGCTACATGATGAAACACTCTCAATACAAAAAATATTAAAAAGTTAGCCAGGCGTGGTGGTGTGTGCTTGTAGTCCCAGCTACTTGGGAAGGATTGATTGAGACTGGGAGGTCGAGGCTACAGTGAGCAGTGATCTCACCACTGCACTTCAGTCTGGATGACAACAAACCCTATCTCAACAACAACAAAAAATATTTTGTGTTCATTCCTCTTTCCATGTTTTACTGCGACTACCCCTTTCCAGCCAGACATTCATAACAGATGTTTAACAAATATTATCTATAGACTGTATGCCAGATCCTGTTTAGACTTCTTGTAGCCTCTTGCTTTTAGTGTTTGTTGCATATCACTGTGATATAAATTTCCTTAAATGACAGTTTCATTTTGTAAATCCCTTGTTCATTAACCTCTACTGACTTATCTTTAGCATCCTTTGTAATCCACTACCCCACATGAGAGACTGCAGCATTTATATTTGTGTTGTGTTTTACTGGTGGTCTGTTTGTTATCATCTTCTTCCATGTGATTGTAAGCACCTTTATTTGGACACACATACAAGTGTGTGTGTGTGTGTGTGTGTGTGTGTGTGTGTGTGTGTGTGTGTGTGTTTGGGGACTTGCTATCCTGAGAAGACCTCTTAGTCTACTCACTTTTAAGGAGCTGTTGATTGTTTTATGTTAGTCAGTTTCAATTTAGTAAAACATTGTTGATCCCGTTGCCAGAACTGTTCTGGGTCCTGTGAAAGCAAAGATGAATAAGAATGTTCATACTATGTAGTTAAGTTTTCTGAAAATAGTCATTTTTCTTTGGCCACCCTGTGGGTGTAGCAGAAGGAAGAATATAAGCCCTTCCAGGAGAGAATAAGATAAATGAATAAACAGAATATGAATAATATTATTAGAGAGCAGAGTAGCTGATGAGCTGGTGGACATTGTTCTGAATGTACAAAAAAAAATCACTACAGGGAAATTATCAGAATAAATTTGTCAGAAGATACAGGAAAAATGATAATGAGTATGTTACTCTTTGAGCACTTTATTTTACACATGTATGTTTCTTGAAAAATACTTCAACTATAACATTTAGTTTTTAAATGTTATACATGTTTCATTGCTAAAACAACTATCCTTTTATTGTAAAAGTGAGTTCAGTTCATATACTAGGGTTAATTTTGTATAATATGGCACGGAGGGCTACTGTGTCTGTTATTCAGTGTAAATCTTGGTATTGCTTTTTAAATAATGAATTCATAATGCAAAGTAACCAAAAATAAAACCAGCAATATTATTTTTATAAAAGTTTTGGTGTTGTCTTGGTTGTAAACTTATAGAATATTATTAACTTCTACTAAAATTTTATAATGTATTTTAACAGGTAGAAATATAGGTACAGATAATGTGTGTAGAGATAGACTGGAAAAGACCATCATTCTTTTTACTAAAGTGGTAAGTTTTTTAAAAACTTGTTTTCTCAAATATAATACACATATTCAAATAGAGAAAGGAAAATGGTATTTTTATAACCATACATTTTCACTTTAGTTTAAGGAAACCTGTGTTCTGACTCCTAATAGGAAAGCCGAAAAACTGCTTTTGTATGTACTTTAGGATGCATATAATTAAATGTATATACCATGTGTCATAATATATAAGTCCATGATATATTAAAAATCAATTCTAATAGATATTAAAGTATTTGATTCCTCTAAAGCTTATTATTCCTTGACCCACTGGAGAAAGTGGAGATTAAGAAGATAGCAGTGCAGTTCAGCTAGAAGTAGAACAAATGTAGCAGACAGTATAATATCAGGAAGTTAGTATATTCAGAATGACCATCACACTATCTTCATATAAACATCTGTTGAGTGGAATTATAGGGGATGTTCTGTGGTAGGCAGTGTGTAGAATTACATTTTATAAAACATTAATTTTTATGAAATTTGGGGGTTGAAGGATTGGGAGAAATGCAAAGAATTGGGTTACAGCAGTTAGAAAGACCTAGCTGGGGACTGCTTGCACTAAAATAGGTACTTGCAGACAGGTGGGGATATCTAAATTTGTAATCTGTTTTCCCTTTTTACTTAAAGGTTCCATAATAGGGTAGGGGTTGTTTATTCCCTGGGAGGGGAGAAAAGGAGCAGAAATGAGCTGTTTTATGTCTTTGTGTTTTAGGTAGTAATTGCCTTTACTTTCTGTTGTCTTCATTTCTTTTGTTTCATGTAACCTCAACAAAAGCCCACCTAATCTTCCAAGATACAGTATAAAATTGACTCAGATTTGCTGTTAAAAAAACACAAAGCAAACGGGATGATGTGCTTAGTCAAAGGGGACTATACAGTATATATCACTGACACTACTGACACTTGCCTGCAACTCTGCTCCCTCACAGCCCCTACTCAGTATATCAATTGCATAAGTAAAATTTAGAAAGTATTTAGATGATCTGTTTTAGAAAACACATTTATTTAGCTGTGAGATTTTTCAGTTCTTTCTGTTGTTTCTTAATGACATGGATAGTTGGTATCTGTAATTATTCTACTTTACATAAGTTGGAAGCAATTTCATTTATGAAATTTATATTTATGATCTCAATGATTTTATTAAAGCTTTTAAATTGGAACATTTCAAAATAGAATAAAGTTACTCTAAGTAGAATTGAGTAACTTTGAATCTTCATGAGATCATCACTCAGCAGCAGTTATCAACCTGTGGCCATGGTCAGTGTTACTTTGTCTGTGTGCTTCTTTCCCCTCCCATCCTTGCTGGTTATTTTAAAGCAAATCTCAGATGTTATCTAGCATTATTTGTAAATATTTGAGTTTCTTTAAGCGGTAGGGTTATTTTTGTGTGTATGTTTGTTTTCTGAGATGGGGTCTCGCTGTGTCACTCAGGCTGGAGTACAGTAGTGTGATCTTGACTCACTGTAACCTCTGTCTTGCAGATTCAGGCAATCCTTCCACCTCAGCCTCCTGAGTAGCTGGGACTAGAGGCTCATGTCACCATGCCCAGCTAACTTTTTGTATTTTTGGTAGAGACAGGGTTTTGCCTTGTTGCCCAGGCTGGTCTTGAACTTCTGGGCACCAGTGATCCGCCCACCCTCACTTCCCAAAGTGCTGAGATTACAGTCATGTGTCACCACGCTTGGCCTGTTTTTTTTAAAAAATAGAATCTTAACACAATTATTGTATTTTAAAAAATAGTAATAACTTCTTAACATCATTTAAATATCTAGTCAGATTTTAGGTTTCTCTGATTGTCTCATGCATTTTTTATAGTTTGTTTGAATCAGGATTCAAGTCCTGTCAGCTCCCTTTCTATCTGTTTGATTTCCTTGCTATAATTTTCTGAGGTAACAGGTAATGTTCTGTACTTTTTCATGTTTTGAATTTGATTGCTTATATCTCCACATGCTTTTTTTTTACATGTTTTTTAGTCTCCACACTTCTCCTACTCTTCCCCCCATATTTCTTATAATTTGGTAGTTAGATGTAGAGGCTTAGTCACTTTCAGGCTTTTTTGTAGGGATAGGGCAGGGATGGCAAGAATACATTATAAGTGTTACTCTGTATTGCATGTCATGCCCACATGCAATGTAGCACACAGTGTCTAATTGTCTTTTCTGTGGCTAAGTTTAATTAGTGATCCATCAAGTTTCCTTAGCGTCTTTTCTCTTAACAGCTGTTGATCATCATTTGCTTGCATCCATTATTTGATTAGGAGTTACGAAATGATGGCATTCTAATTCTGTTATTCCTTTTGCAGTTATTAGCTGAAATTCTTCTATAAAGAAGACATCTCCCTCATCAGCTATTTGATACATTAAAATACAATTAAAATGGGAAAGACAGGATAATATTTAAATTATTTCCATTAGTCTGTTATGTTTTAAGGTCTGTCTATTTTACATTTTAAGAATTTTGTATCATATTTACCCATTGTTATAAAATTGTGTATGATTGGGTTTGTTTTGGTTTCTGTACTGAAAATGATAGAAAGTTCTTATTAAGAGTAATCTAATATAATCCACATTATGTGATGTATCCCAAGAAGGGTTATGATACATGTAAAACTGAGTGAACATGGACTCCACATTAAGGTTCAAACTTGCTAAATGATTATTAATAAAGTTATAATTGGGGTGATTATGTTCCAATATGAATTTGGGGAAAATACATGTTAATTTTTTTTTTTAACAGCTTTTGGACTTCTTAGATCAGCATCCCTTTTCATTTACTCCTCTAATTCAGAGATCACTGGAATTTTCTGTAAGCTATGTTTTTACAGAAGTTGGTGAAGGTGTTACATTTGAACGATTCATTGTCCAGTGTATGAATCTTATTAAGATGATTGTCAAAAATTATGCTTATAAGCCATCCAAAAATTTTGAAGGTAATTGCTTTACTGGCAGTTTAAAATATTATTTTAATCTTAAGTGTGATATAATTGCTATATTTATATAATTTTTTAAAAATTTTATTTGTTTTAGTTTGAAAAATAAGTTGTTGCTGGGACATGAAATAAAGATAGGGATTATAGGCTTTAGTATGTTTATACTAGCTTTAAAAAAAAGTATAGTGCATTTAGTAAGCCGTTTTTTGTAGTACAATAAAGTGATTGAAGCTTAGGGTTTTTAAGAATTAGGTCCTATAGTCATCACTGCAGCTTATGCTGTAGGCTGTATTCATTTGAACAAATAAAAGCTCTCTCCGACTTAAAAGTGTGATCGCATCTAGACAGGTTAAATTGTTATATTATTTGGATATATGCATGTGTGCCAAGATGAATGAAGAAGTTTTGTTGGTGGAGGGGAGAGAAACACACCCTCTACATATGAGGAAATCATTTCAATATGCTGTGATAGTATTGCATGGTTACAAGCTGTAATAGTAAGACAGAGGCAGGAATAATGTGGGTGTGTTATAAGTAAAAAGTATCTTTGAGATTTGTTTATAAAAAAATGAAAATTTATACACAAGTATAACTTTTTCCCTGAGAATATATTTTTTATATATTTAAATTACATAATTCAATGTAGCTACAATATTTGGCTATACAATTAACTTGGAAATTTCATTTTTCTAGATAGCAGCCCTGAAACTCTTGAAGCCCATAAGATTAAGATGGCATTCTTCACATATCCTACTTTGACAGAGATATGTAGAAGATTAGTCTCTCATTATTTTCTGTTAACTGAAGAAGAACTGACAATGTGGGAAGAAGACCCAGAAGGCTTTAGTAAGAATTAATTTTTTAGTGTTAGCATGGCTTTTCTCCCCTTTCTATAGATACGTGTTTGAGTGATAGGTATAATAGTATATTTTCATGTAGCACTTTTGATCTGGGAATCTTGGTTTTTTAAAATTAACTTATTCTTTCTTTGTTATCCATTATGACAAATTGAGATGCGGAAAATGACTGACTTATACAAATATGATGTAGAATTTTGTCCAGAAAAAGACCTTTTTAGTTTTTAGATTCTTTTACAAGTAGGTAGTTTCAAACAAAAATACAAAATTAACTCTATTACTAGGTCAGTTTCCACTTTATGCTTCATTACATATTATTTTTTTATTTGTAAAAATTCTTAACAAAGAAATTTGGAGAGTTTTTGATGAATAGATTATTTTTTGGACAGGACATCTTTATAGCTGTTTGAATTTTAGTACTAGGTAAATGAGTAGACTAAGTCTTATTGCAACCCTTGCTATAGAAAATCAAGGAATCATGTGCTTAATATAGTACTTGTATGTGAATTATTTAAGCTACGGTGGGACATACCTAGATTTTAGCTTCCCTTTTCCCTGTTACTGGATGCCCTTGTGTAGTTATACATTTCCTAATATTTTAAGAGTGCCCAAAAGTTTTTGTAATACTTATCTTTGTTATCCTTTTAGTTTTTAAAAATAATTTTAGTTTTAATACAGTATTGTACTATACAACATGTCTTTTCTTTTTTCCCCCCGAAACATCTTGTTTCAATTTGCTTTCTTTATGTAGTACATAGAATATTGTCATGAAGCATTGAGTCCCTAAATTTTTAAAAGCCCTGAAGTATCTGACTTTAAATATAAATACCTGAAATTTATGGAGAGTGTGACTAATCATTGTAACTAGTGAAACATGATTACTGTATTGAAATGAAATGATTCTCAGAATTGTAGTGATATTGGATCAGGTGATAGCAGATACCCTGGAAATGACAAGTACTTTGAGCTTTTTTCCATACAGAATTTTTATTGAAAATGAGAATGCTTATGGATAGAGTAAGCACTTAATAGATGACTGTTGAGATACATAACTGCAATCTCTAGCATACAGTAACAAAATCTGTGTAAGGCCTGTGTTCCCAAGGATTTGCTCTTAACATTATGTTTAAAACAGTTCACAGAAATATTATACTGATGTTATTTACATCTTTGATTTCTAAACCAAGATGTTGAAAATGTTTACATATTTTTAATTGCAGCAGTGGAAGAAACAGGAGGAGATTCTTGGAAATACAGTTTGAGGGTAAGTATTAATTGAAAGAAAAATTAATAGGGGAAAGCTTAATCCTTCTAATGCACTTAGTAGAGAATGGCACCCTATTAAAGATTCCAAACATTTGCTGGGAGTGGTGGCTCACATCTTAATCCTAGTGAAGCCAAGGCGGGAGGAGGATGGATTGAGGCCAGAAGTTCAAGACTAGCCTGGTCAGCGTAGCAAGATCCTGTCTCTACAAAAAGTTAAAAAAAAAAAAAAAAAGACCAGAGTGGTGGCACATACCTATAGTTCCACCTATTCAGGAGTCTAAAACAAAAGGATCATTTGAGCCCAAGAGGTTGAGGCTGCTGTGTCATGATTATACCAACCCTGTCTCTTAAAAAAGAAATTAAAGATTCTAAATATTAAGTCAGACAGATAAGAAACTTTATAAGAAACTAGGTAAGAACTATATTCATATTACATTATGAAGTTTAATCTGAGTTGTTTTTTTTTTTAACTTGGGGTTTCAAAATGAATTTTTTCTTTATCTTTTAGCACATTGCATGGGAATAATTGGCATTTTACCCGTAGAAAATGTCAAAGTAAAAGCTGCCACTCTTTAGAGTTCTTTTCTTCTGCATATTTCATTAGTAAAGCTTCTTTTGGTATGTTATTTCTCTTACCACTTAGTGTGACTCTCAGAGGCTAGCCCATTGCTTTCAGTTATAGAATTCTTTTACAAGACATTTATTAATATGACAAATGTTTTGCCATTGCCAAACGTGGTGTTTGACCTGTTATTTTTGTTAAGACTTGAGCTTACATAATTTACATAATTTGCTATTTGTTTTCTAAAAATGTTATCTTAATGTTTTTAGACTCATAGAGTTGTCAGTCAGAGATTACTGGTGATTTTAAAACTTTTAAAAGTTTCATTTTTTTTAATGTTTAAAAGTTTCTCTTATGGAGAAGTTTAAGCATATTAAAAAATAGAATAATAACATGAGCCCGTCATGATAACGTAGTTTATTAGTTATCAACTCACATCTACTTTAGCTTCCTGTAAACATCCCCTAATGTCGATGGTTTTGAAGTAGATATCTGAGATGACATATCCTCTGACCATATTTCAGTGTGTATATCTACAGTGTTCCTTTTAAAACACCACACACGTGTGCCTGTAATCCCAGCTACTCAGGAGGCTGAGGCAGGAGAATTGCCTGAACCTAGAAGGCGGAGGTTGTGGTGAGCCGAGGTCGCGCCATTGCACTCCAGCCTGGGTAAACAAGAGCAAAACTCCGTCTCAAAAAAAAAAAGCACCACACAATACCTTAAAAATTTAGTTAAAAAATTAAATATTGTGAACCATCTAGTGATTCAATTTTTATTTCTTTCCATCTTAAAAATTATTTAAAAATTTTTTGTGGTTATGTAGTAGGTGTACATATTTATGGGGTACATAAGATGTTTTGATACCAGCATGCAGTGTGAAATGATTCAGTAATTTTAAGAACTAAATTAATCTTTTTTTAAATGTAGCTAATGCTGATTTCTGTTACTGCTTGTGTTTGTTAGAGAAATGCTACTTTATTTGGCAGTTTGGAGTTCCCGTTTTTGTTTATTTTATCATTGCTAAGAAAATACGTAATTTTTGGCTGAGCGCAGTGGCTCACACCTTTAATCCCAGTACTTTGTGAGGCTGAGGCAGGTGGATCACAGGGTCAGGAGATCCAGACCATCCTGGCCAAGATGGTGAAACCCTGTCTCTACTAAAAATACAAAAATTATCTGGGCATGGTGGCGCATGCCTGTAGTTCCAGCTACTTGGGAGGCTGAGGCAGGCAATCACTTGAACCCCAGAGGCGGAGGTTGTAGTGAGCCGAGATTGTGCCACTGCACTCCAGCCTGGCCACAGTGGGAGACTTTATCTAAAAAAAAAACAAAAAAAAAAACATAATTTTTAATATGTTAAATCTTGGATAGTCAGCTATTTATAGTGCTGAACTATAAACGAGTGGCTACAGAATGCTTTTTAAATTTAAGGTATGATTAAAATGTACACTGTGCTCTCCATAGTTTTAAGTTTTTGAATGTATAATGACAAATATTTGAAATAAGGAAATAAACTTTTATGATTTGATTTTCCATTGTGTTGGTTACAAAAAATGTTAATCTTACCGTTTTTTAACAAATCAAAAGTTAGAAACATTTTCACAGTTTTAGAACTTTAAAATTGAGTATTTACTTTATTATAGAATTAGTCAATATAGTGTACAGCTGTTTGGATGAGAAATTTGTCTTTTTCCCTCTCCAGCCGTGCACTGAAGTATTATTTATAGATATATTCCATGAATATAATCAGACTCTCACTCCTGTACTTCTAGAAATGATGCAAACCCTTCAAGGTAAGGCGTATTTTGTATTTACCTTTGAGTTGATCTATTTAATGTTTAGTTAAGAAATAGTCTGAGTGCCTACAATGCATAATGTGCTATTTCTTGGGTCATATAATGAATATGAATTTGAGAAAAACAGAATGTGTTATTTTCCAAAGAGGTGGTATTTGAGATAGGCCTTGAATTATAGTTTGGAAAATGATAGTTAAATTTTCCTGTAATAAATTCAACAGCAGCATAAGCAAAACAGCAATCATACTGCTTGCAGAAAATCTATCTGGAGCATGTTGTGAGAAATAGTGAGAAAAGGTTTAAATGATAAGTGTTAGCCTCTCTTAGAATGGTATCAATGGGAATGGAAAGAATTGATGATGGATTTGAGAGAGAATGATGATGTAAATTTTTGACACTTGATCATTACACTCTGTGCACAAGTAATTATCTGCTTGCTAACTAACATTGACTTACGATTTCTGTCTTTTCTGCTAGACTGTAAGTCCTAGGGGCATTGGCCACGTCTGTTTTGTTCACTTTATTCAGTAACTATTATTACATGATTGACTTTTGGTAACTGACTGAATGTGCTAGGCAAGGAAAAGCAATCAAAGATGATCCTAACCTTTGAGGCTTAATGACAAGGAAACAGTTACCTCATTAGAAATGGTAGGAGATAGAGATCTACTTTTGGAGTGCATACATATAAGGAGCCTTGGGAGAAAAAAAGAGGATCTCAAGGACAGAACCTGAGATTTTTACCAATAGGGATATAAGGAAATAAAAGCCTTGTAAAAATGCCAGGTGTGGTGATGTATCCTAGAGAAGAGCATGTTGTCAGGAGTGAGTGTTAGCCAGGCATGGTGGCTCCCCAGGAGTACCAGACCAGCCTGGGCAACGTGGCAAAAATCTCTCTCTTCAAAAATTATGAAAATTAGCTGGGCCCAGTGGTGACCACCTGTAGACCCAGCTATTCAGGAGGCTGAGGTGGGAGGGAGGATCATTTGAGCGCAGGAGGTTGAGGCTGCAGTGAGCTGAGATTACTCCACTATACTCCAGCCTGAGTGACAAAGCAAGACCTTGTCTCAAAAAAAGTAAAAAAAAAAATAGTGTGGTATATAGCACATTAGCATTTTGTGATGCATATTTTCTAGAATATTGCTCGTCATAACATTTTTCAAATATGCAATAATGGTTTTTAATCCTGTGTTCTCTAATGATAATCATAAAACTTAGACTTTCCCTTTGTACCTGTGTCCATGTTTGATACCGTGAAATATGTTGTACTTAATTGAATTGGGAAATAACACATTGTGTTTAAATATAAAAATTTTTAAAAAACTTTTTATTTGCTTTTATTGATACCAATTTTTTTTAGGACCCACAAATGTGGAAGATATGAATGCACTGTTAATAAAAGATGCTGGTATGTTAAACTTAAGTGATTTAGAAACATTTATTTAATAGATGGAGAGTCTGTTTTGTGGTAGATTTTGTGCTGAGGTTGTTGAGATATTAAGAGTATCTAAAATACAGGAACAATCTGGTTGGGGAGATGACCAAGTAAATAGATAATGCATTGTAATAATGCTGTACAGGATGGTTAATGCTAAAGTAGGTGGTGATCATCAGGTAGTTTGGTGTGTCTAAGGAAAGATTTCTAAAGAAGTGTAATGGGAGAACACAAGGATAAGTAGAAGCTATATGTGTGAGGAGGTGGTGGTGGTGAAAAGAGGGTGGTGCATTCCACGGAGATGGAGCAGTGGGTACAAAGACTTGAAGGAAAGAGGAGGAAGCACAGTTAGAATTTGAATTGTGACTATTTTGGTTTAACTGGAACATTAGGTTAAGAGTTGGGTTGAGGCTGGAGAGAGTTAAGTAGGGTCCAGATCATAAAATATTATATCCATTTAGAAGCAGTCATTATTTTATAATTTTTATAGTTAGACTTAAATATTTTAGAATGGATTGAATTTTCTATTTGAAAGTAGTAAGGAATATTTAGGAAAAACATGAAGTAAGATAATTAGTGTTTCTAAAATGTCTACTTAAATAATTTCCATGATTAATATATTGTATGTTTCCATTAACATATCTTTCATCCACTCATTTGCAGATCTGATATCTGAAACCTTTTAATTTTTTTCTTAAATTTTCTTCTCAGTGTATAATGCTGTTGGATTAGCTGCTTATGAGCTGTTTGACAGTGTTGATTTTGATCAGTGGTTTAAAAACCAGCTTCTTCCAGAATTACAAGTCATTCACAATAGGCAAGTATAAAATTTTATATTTATTCTACACTTATTTTACCTTATTTATTAATGAAGACAGGAAGGCATTAAAATGACTTACAATTTAAAAAATACAGTCGTATGAGTTAGGTAATGTCTTGTGTGGAAAAGAATAAGAATTTTGACATCTAAGAAGTATTTGACAGGAGAAAAGGAGGACTTCATACAAAGATGAGGGAGGATGGAGGTCTCTGAGTTCAAGAAGGAAACTATGCCTAAGAAAAAGACAATTGGAGACTTAGCAGCGGGTATATTTAGTGTCAGAAGTAGCCTAATCAAAGTAATATCTGAAAGGTGACTGTCTTGGGATCACATAATGCATACTGCAAGTCTTTGGGAGAGGCAGTTGAGTAGGATGTAGAGACACCATGGCAAAAATATTTGAATACACTGTAAGTTCTAATGGCGGTACCTAATCATATAGTATAGATTCATTTACATTTACATTTAGTAATATGAATTATGAAATGAATTAATTTAGTACATTTACTAGCACATTTGTCCAATTCTTTTTTTTTTTTTTTAAACAGAGTCTCAGTCTGGAGTGCAGTAGTGCCATCTCAGCTCACTGCAACCTCTACCTCCTGGGTTCAAGCGATTCTTGTGCCTCAGCCTCCTGAGTAGCTGGGATTATAGGCACATGCCACCATGCCCAGCCAGCCCAATTCCTTTGTTTTATATACATTTAAGCCTATTTATTTAAATTTTAGGTATTGAGTACATAAAATGGAAAAAGCTCTTTCATAGTTTTAAAAATTATTTCTTAGTTTAAAATTGGAGAATCTAAAAAAATTCTAAGAGGCTTTTTTCTTAGTTTGAAGGGTACATATCTGCTCACTCACTTCATTCTACCTGTGGCCTATCAGAATGCTTAGCATATAGTTAGATAGTTAGTATTTGTTGATAAAACTAATGAACGAATGGAAGGTCACATTTAGAGCCACAGAATTTGTAGAGCTGGGAATGTTCTAAAAGTAATTCTTGGCCGGGCGCGGTGGCTCACGCCTGTAATCCCAGCACTTTGGGAGGCCGAGGCGGGTGAATCACTAGGTCAAGAGATTGAGACCATCCTGGTCAACATGGTGAAACCCAGTCTCTACTAAAAATACAAAAAATTAGCTGGGCATGGTGGCGCGTGCCTGTAATCCCAGCTACTCAGGAGACTGAGGCAGGAGAATTGCCTGAACCCAGGAGGCGGAGGTTGCGGTGAGCCGAGATCGTGCCATTGCACTCTAGCCTGGGTAACAACAGCGAAACTCCGTCTCAAAAAAAAAAAAAAAGTAATTCTTAGCAGTAAGTAGCTGTTTATCTCTTCAGTTATTCAATCATTTATTTAGTTAACATACATTTTTAACTTTTGGAATTTGCCATGTCCTGTATAGCAGTGGTGAATAAAACAGACCCTGACTCAGTCTCAGAGAACAAGTGAGCCTTTGATGGAGAGAAGGTGTTCATTGGGGAGACAAATGTGCAGTTTAGCTGTCCTTAAACCCTAGAGGCTATTTAGTGTAAGACCTTCCTTGTTTAGTACAGATGCTCCCTGTGGGTGGCTATTGAGCATTTGGAAATGTGCCTAGTGCAACTGAGGAAACGACTTTGCAAATTTAATTAATTTAAATTTATAAATTAAAGCCATGTTAAATATTTATTGATTACATGTTGAAATAATATTTTGGATATATTGGGATACATAAAAATATTAAGATTTTACTCATTTCTTTTATTTTATAATGTGGGTACTAAAAAATTAAAATAACATATGTGGCCAGCATTATATTTCTAATGGACAAAGCTGATGTAGACCAGTGTTTCTCAAACTTTGATATACATATGAGCCACCTGGTAATCTTGTTAAAGATTAGGTTTTGACTTAGGTCTGGGACAGGTCAGGCAGTGTATACATTGAATAGCAAAGTGATCTATGATTTTACCTCTGTTTGGATGTGTCTGTGCTTCATTCTCTTTATCTGGAACAGAGTCTAATATGGCCTTTTTCCCAAAACTGATGGTTCTTTGGTGCTTTTACTTTACTTTACACAAGTTGCTACTTCTGCCTGTGTTACTTGGTTGAAACAGTTCCTATCCCTTGAAATGACATTTTTTTTACTTTTCGGCTCTAATACTGTTTATCTCAAAGACCTGCTCAGATTCCATCTGTCTCTGTTCATTCCTTCTCTTCCTTTTCCAAAGTCCTTGTGTTTTTTAATTCCCTTAGGTATGTTATAAACTTCTTGGGGGCAGGGAATACTTACATACATTTTGTGGCTTTATTTAGTTATTTTATTTCATTTAATTTTTGAGACAGGGTCTCACTTTGTCACCCTGGCTGGAGTACAGTGGCATGATGTTGGCTCACTGCAGCCTCTGCTTCCTGGGCTCTAGTGATCCTCCCACCTCTGCCTCCTGAGTAGCTGGGACCACAGGTGTGTGCCACCATGCCTGGCTATTTTTTTGTATTTTTGGTAGAGACAGGGTTTCACTATTTTGGACAGGCTGATCTCAAACTCCTGAGCTCAAGCGATCTACCTGCCTCAGCCTCCCAAATGCTGGGATTACAAGTTTAAGCCTAGCCTAAGTTTTGCAACTTCAATGAGCAATTTTTTTTTTTCCATGTGCTTGATCATCTTTTAAAACTAGATTTTTGAAAAAAAAAAAATAGTGTTTCATTAGCTTGTTCCATTTATACCCAGAAATAATTTATCATCTTGTCACAAAAATTTACATATTATCAAGAAGATACTTCATGAGTGAAATTCTTGGACATAAATGTTTTGAACTTCATGATTTTTCTCCTTACCTCAACTTTCATTTCCTTTAGCAAAGATAATCAGAGAAAGAAATGTATATGCATGTTATTGTAAGTGTTTTGCAAATGTTAATATGTTATTTTGGTAATGTGAGTCATGTTCTGTTACTGTGTACCTCTTAGAAAATTGAGTTAAAATTAAAAAATTTATATGAATGTTTTATATAAGCCTAGAAGTTTCTTATATTGTTCTGAAAATAATCTTCATAATATTAACAAAATTAGAATAGAAAATTAAATATAGGAGATTCTTTTACTTTTTGGGACTTTTCTAGTTTTAGAGTTTGGGGAATTATCACTGTTTTTAGTTACTTGAGCTAAAAACAAATGGCTTTGGTTTTTATGAATGTATCTACCTTGTGATTCTTTTAAGATAAAAGAATCAGGATTATTACAACATATATGCCTAGGAATTTTTAAGTATTAAAAATGTTAATAGTAAAAATTTATTTAGATCAGGACATTGTTAATATTTTATACTGTGGTACATTTAGAAGTAGCCTTTAACCTTTTCTTTTCTTTTTTTTTGACAGCCGTTTGCTCTGTCACCTAGTCTGGAGTGCAGTGGCACAGTCTTGGCTTATTGCAACCTGTCTCCTGAGTTTCAAGGGATTCTCGTGCCTCAGCCTCCTGAGAACCTGGGACCACAGGCATATGCCACTACACCCAGCTATTTTTTTATATTTTTAGTAGACATGAGGTTTCACCATGTTGCCCAGGCTGGTCTTGAACTCCTGGCCTCAAGTGATTGGCCTTCCTTGGCTTTTCTCAAAGTGCTGGGATTACAAGCATGAGTCAGCACACCTGCTTTTAAGTATGTATATTAAAAATGCAGATTGGGTCCGGGTGCAGTGCTCAAGCCTGTAATCCCAGCACTTTGGGAGGCCGAGGCGGGTGGATCACAAGGTCAAGAGATCGAGACCATCCTGGTCAACATGGTGAAACCCCATCTCTACTAAAAATACAAAAACGTAGCTGGGCACGGTGGCACGTGCCTGTAATCCCAGCTACTCAGGAGGCTGAGGCAGGAGAATTGTCTGAACCCAGGAGGTGGAGGTTGCGGTCAGCCGAGATCGTGCCATTGCGCTCCAGCCTGGGTAACAAGAGTGAAACTCCATCTAAAAAAAAAAAAAGCAGATTGCATTCTTACTACATTTTAGATTTAACTGATAAATTATACTAAATAAAATAGACAACTTAAAATGTTTAACATTTTAATTTCATGTTTTTTTCTATTTAGGTATAAGCCATTGCGACGCAGGGTGATTTGGCTCATTGGTCAGTGGATTTCTGTGAAATTCAAGTCTGACTTAAGACCCATGCTTTATGAAGCAATCTGTAACTTGCTTCAAGATCAAGATTTAGTGGTATGTTTTTTAAATCCCTTAAAAGAGTTAGTTTTTAAAGTTTCACCAATGCTAATAATTAAGTTCACAACAGTTTATGCCTTTCTTTAGAATGTGTATGGCCTTTCACTGTACTGGTTATTTCTTGTTGAGCAGTTTGATTTGAGGGTAGAAAATCTTTTGATTATCATTTGCCCTTCCCATTACTAGTCATTGAAAAAAAAATTAAGCTCTACTATTCTAAAGTAATATATAATTTCTTAGTAAGAAAAAAAAGGCAGTTAAAAAAATCCCTTTATAGCTTACATATTATTTGTAAAATTCAGGATAGACTTTGGCATTGAGATAGCATCATGATTTATTTCATCTTTACTGTTCATTTTTTGTCCCTCATTTGTGAAAAATTTTTTAAGCCTTTGGAATTATTGGATTCTTTTAAGGAATTTTTCTTTCTTATGATAGTCACATAGTATTCTTGATTTTGTGTTACTGAAAACTTGATAGTAAGCTCTTTGATGCTTTTTCCCCCTTCAGAGCAGTAGGTTTGCTACTTTGTTATAAAATTACTGAAACAGTAGTAGCAATTTTACAGGCCTGTCATTTTAAGAAGTTTAAATTGTAAGGCATGGTTTTCTTTCTTTTTTCCTGCTGATGCTTTAGTATATGCCTGAGTGAATATATTAGTGACTTAATATATACGTGTTTGTTGTCTTTTCCTGATTTTCAGTTTGTTTTAGATAACATTAAGTGATTTTTAAAGTTTTCTCCCGAGTTGTGCTAAGATCTTTTTAAATCATTTCTCAGTCTTCCTCCCCTTACCCCTCCCCCACCACCAATATTATTTTTTGTTTGAACCTGCCTGGTTTTTGCCTTTTAGCAAAGGCTTGAACTGTACTTCTCTTTTTTACATATGCTGCATAAAGAAAACTACATGTAGTGTTCACTAAAGAAAAACATAATTAGGTAAATTTGTTACAGAAACACAATACATTCCAAAAGCAAAAAGAACTGATCTTTGGGTTTTTTTTTTTTTTTTTTTTTTAGACGGAGTTTCACTCTTGTTACCCAGGCTGGAGTGCAATGGCGTGATCTCGGCTCACAGCAACCTCTGCCTTTTGGGTTCAGGCAATTCTCCTGCCTCAGCCTCCTGAGTAGCTGGGATTACAGGCACGCGCCACCATGCCCAGCTAATTTTTTGTATTTTTAGTAGAGACGGGGTTTCACCATGTTGACCAGGATGGTCTCGATCTCTTGACCACGTGATTCACCCGCCTCGGCCTCCCAAAGTGCTGGGATTACAGGTGTGAGCCACCGCGCCTGGCCCTGATTTTTGGGTTTTCTACCTAAGTATTATCTGCTTTGTGTAAATAATTTGGGAATTTAAGTACTGTTCCGTAATTATTAAATAGTATAAGCATGGGAAGTTACAAGAGAGACTTGTTGTATTCTATTGGGTTTATATTCTTAGAAATCTATTAATATAACTTAAGCGATTTCTAAAATTTTTATAATAGCTTTACAATAAAACAGTAAGGTTTAAATTTTTATTCCCTAGTTAGAAATATTATTTGCTCTTCTGTAAGAGAGAAGATGTTAAATGATGTATGAATGTGTTACAAAAGGGTTAAATTTCAGTTAAATTTTCTTTGGGAAATAGAGAAACTGCTTGGGTTTTTCTTTATTCTTTTCTCTCTTTTTTTTTTTTTTTTGGTGGGAAGACTGAGTCTCTCTCTGTTGCCCAGGTTGCATGCAGTGCAGTGATACGATCATGACTCATTGTAGCCTCTATGTCCTGGGCTCAGCTGATCCTCCCACCTCAGCCTCCCAGGTATCTGGGACTACAGGCATGCACCACCACACAGTGAGCTCTGTTGCCATACTCCATCTTGGGCAGCAGAGCAAGACTCCATCTCAAAAGAAATTTTTAGAAAGTTTTACTTAGATTATTCAAACCTCAGTAAAACAAGCAGTAAATTACTAGAAAATAAGCATTAGTATAATCTTTCACTTCTGTGAAAGCCTGTGTAAGATATAAACTGTGTATAATCAGAAAGCCTGTAGTTTGAGGGTGTGGTGTGGTGCTTTGTGAAGCAAAGAGAAATGGTAGTCTTCATGGGCACGTTGACCACCAGCATAGACGTATGGTCATGTGCTATTTCAAGACAAGGATATATGCTGAGAAATGCGTTGTTAGGTGATTTTCTCATTGTGCGGACATCATTTAATGTGCTTTTATGCAATCCAAGATAGTATAGGCTATCTAGGCTGTGGGTAAAACCAGTATAGCATGTTACGGTACTAAATACATTAGGTAGTTATAACACAATGGTAAGTATTTGTGTGTCTAAACATAGAAAAGGTACAGTAAGAACATAGTATAAAAGATAAAAATGTTACACCTCTATAGGGTGCTTAACTTGAATTGAGCTTGCAGGCTTGGCACTTGCTCTGGGTGAGGCAGTGAATGAAAGATGAGTGAATATGAAAGCCTAGAACATTAATGTATACTACTTTAGACTTCATAAACATTGTACACTTAGGCTACACTAAGTATATTGGAAAATATTCTTTCTTAATAATAAATTAACCACAGTTTACTGTAACTTTTTTACTTTAAATTTCTTAAAATTTATTTTATTATTTTATTTTAAAAATTTTTTATTTTTTTTATTGCATTTTAGGTTTTGGGGTACATGTGAAGAACATGTAAGATTGTTGCATAGGTACACACATGGCAACCTATGGTTTGCTGCCTTCCTCCCCATCATCTATATCTGGCATTTCTCCCCATGTTATTCCTCCCCAACTCCCTGCCCTCACTGTCCCTCCCCTTTTTCCCCCCACACACCCCAGTATGTGATATTCCCCTCCCTGTGTCCATGTGTTTTCATTGTTCAACACCTGTGTATAAGTGAGAACATGCAATATTTGATTTTCTGTTCTTGTGTCAGTTTGCTGAGAATGATTGTTTCAAGGTTCATCTATGTCCCTACAAAGGACACGAACTCATCGTTTTTTATGGCCGCGTAGTATTCTGTGGTGTATATGTGCCACATTTTCCCTGTCTTGTCTATCATTGATGGGCATTTGGGTTGGTTCCAAGTCTTTGCTGTTGAAAATAGTGCCGCAGTGAACATCTGTGTGCTTGTATCCTTATAATGGAACGATTTGTAATCCTTTGGATATATACCCAGTAATGGGATTGCTGGGTCAAATGGAATTTCTGTTTCTAGGTCCTTGAGGAATCGCCACACTGTCTTCCACAATGGTTGAACTAATTTACACTCCCACCAACAATATAAAAGTGTTTCTATTTCTCCACATCTTCTCCAGCATCTGCTGTCTCCAGATTTTTTCATGATCACCATTCTAACTGGTGTGATATGGTATCTCAATGTAGTTTTGATTTGCATTTCTCTAATGACCAGTGATGATGAGCATTTTTTCATATGTTTATTGGCCTCATGTATGTCTTCTTTTGTAAAGTGTCTGTTCATATCCTTTGCCCACTTATGAATGGGCTCGTTTGTTTTTCCCTTGTAAATCTGTTTTAGTTCTTTGTAGATTCTGGATATCAGCCATTTGTCAGATAGTTAGATTGCAAAAATTTTTTCCCATTCTGTTGGTTGCTGATTCACTCTAATGACGGTTTCTTTTGCTGTGCAGAAGCTGTGGAATTTCATTAGGTCCCATTTGTCTATTTTGGCTTTTGTTGCCAATGCTTTTGGTGTTTTGTTCATGAAGTCCTTGCCTACGCCTATGTCCTGAATGGTTTTACCTAGATTTTCTTCTAGGGTTTTTATGGTGTTAGGTTTTGTATTTAAGTCTTTAATCCATCTGGAGTTAATTTTAGTGTAAGGTGTCAGGAAGGGGTCTGGTTTCTGCTTTCTGCACATGGCTAGCCAGTTTTCCCAACACCGTTAATTAAACAGGAAATCCTTTCCCCATTGCTTGTTTTTGTCAAGTTTATCAAAGATTGTATGGTTGTAGATATGTTATGTTGCCTCCGATGCCTCTGTTCTGTTCCATTGGTCTATATTTCTGTTTTGGTACCAGTACCATGCTGTCTTGATTACTGTAGCCTTGTAGTCTAGTTCGAAGTCCAGTAGTGTGATGCCTCCTGCTGTGTTCTTTTTACTTAGAATTCACTTGGCTATGCGGGCTCTCTTTTGGTTCCATATGAAGTTTAAGGTGGTTTTTTCCAGTTCTGTGAAGAAGGTCATTGGTAGCTTAATGGGGATAGCATTGAATCTGTAAATTACTTTGGGCAGTATGGCCATTTTCACGATATTGAGTCTTCCTAACCATGAACATGGAATGTTTCTCCATCTGTTTGTGTCCTCTCCTATTTTGCTGAGCAGTGGTTTGTAGTTCTCCTTGAAGAGGACCGTTACATTCTTTGTTAGTTGTATTTCTAGGTTTTTTATTCTTTTTGGAGCAATTGTACATGGCAGTTTGTTCTTGATTTGGCTCTCTTTAAGTCTGTTATTGGTATATAGGAATGCTTGTGATTTTTGCACATTGATTTTGTATCCTGAGACTTTGCTGAAGTTGCTTATGAGTTTCAGGAGATTTTGGGATGAGGCAATGGGGCCTTTAAATATGCAATCATGTCATCTGCAAATAGAGACAATTAGACTTTCTCCTTTCCTTATTGAATGCCCTTTATTTCTTTTTCTTGCCTGATTGCTCTGGCTAGAACTTCCAATACTATATTGAATAGGAGTGGTGAGAGAGGGCATCCTTGTCTAGTGCCAGATTTCAAAGGGAATGCTTTCAGATTTTGCCCATTCAGTATGATATTGGCTGTTGGTTTGTCCTAAATAGCTTTTATTATTTTCAGATACATTCCATCAATACCGAGTTTATTGAGGGTTTTTAGCATAAAGGGCTGTTGAATTTTGTCAAAGGCCTTCTCTGCATCTATTGAGATAATTGTGGTTTTTGTCTTTGTTTCTGTTTATGGTGAATTACGTTTATGGGCTTGCATATGTTGAACCAGCCTTGCATCCCCGGGATGA